CTTCCCAGCTCTCAGAGTTAGTGGGGCCTTGCGACTAGATCTGCCAATTAGGGTGAACTAGAGTGAGCAGATGTGATGTGTGTCACCGTAACTTCAAATTTGTAAGGGTATGTTCATTTTTATGCATGCTTTCAAGTGAACTAAATTTGAGTTGTGCTGAAACTGGACTTAGAATGTTTGTAAGATACCGTCCAGCTGTCGCAGGGAGTGGGAGGCATTATTACACTAGTCTGGTAGGTCACCTTCAGTTGAAAACTAACATGCGGTTTGATTTGGTTTGGTTGTGAACAATGTGAACCAGGGTTGATAAGATCCAATAGCTAGATGGATATACCTGAATGGGATCAATTCAATAATTTTAAAGACAAAAAGCAAACTAGAATATTATGTCAACATGACAGTGTTTTAGTGCACTTCAGTTAGTGACTTAAGCCATAGGAATTTCATTTTAACTCAAAAATAAATTCATACACTGTAAAGTGCATGATACATTTCCTTTGCCGTCCCTTCTGTTACTGTCCTGGATACCACATATGTGTTATTTCTCAGGCATTCCCAAGGGCTTGCATCAGCAGTCTCCTCTGTACCAGTGAGTGGCCTCTCAGTTCAATTAGGATCCTAGATAGATGTAACGTGCATATGCACATGCCCACACACGCTAAGGGTATCTTATCTAAAATGGAATATTTCTTCATCTGAGAACTTTTTAGAAGTGTGATTACTTGGTGCTGTTAAAAAAAAAAAAGAGATTTTGTTCATTGAGTCCTTATGACCACTTTTTTTTTTTGCACTTGTGAACAACAAAAAACAAGGAGGAAAAAACAGAACAATTTCACACCTAAAACTGAAGGAGTTGATTACTGTCATTTTGATGATGTGCCTTTTATACGTTTGCAGTGGTTAAGAAAGACTTTATGGTTTGGAGCATGAGCACTTTAAAGTGATTCAAAATTATTGAAGAGCTACAAATTTTATAAAGTGCTTCAATTTGTTACTGACTAGAGCAGCCGTGGAACGATTCAGCAGAGCTTTTAGTACTATGCACAGCCTGCAAATGCTCTCATAATCTTCCCAGGTATCGCTCCTTTACACATCAGGGCTCTGAATGTTCCTGCCCAGAGAAAGTCCCTTGCTAACAGCAGCAGAGCTTGTCCTGGGGACCTGCATGCCACAGAAGTGTTGCTCACACATGGGTGTAATGTAGGCAATGCTGCTAACTCCAAAGTAGCCTTCAGTTTTTACTTGGCTTGGTTTTGCCAGAGTTAAAAACTATATTGGTTTAAAAAACGACTGGACTATTGGTCACTTAATTTGGTGTCTGGGGAGTGGGATAAAGTTGGGAAAAGTGGCTTCAACTCTGCAAAATGAGAAAAGATGTTTTCGTCCCTCTGAGATACACAAAGACTAAGATTTTAGTAAGTTGGTGCTTTTGAGAGAGCCTGAAACTTCGTAAATAAAAACAGGTTTTAATGATTTCTGCTTTACCTTTAGCTTGCACTATTTTGCTGGACTTTGATTTGCATGTTTTAGAGCAACCCTAAGTCCTGCTTGTATGTAAAGCAGGAAAAATAAAGCATAATCTTTGAATTTAAAATAACTGATGGTTTAGATATTGACTTGTAATGTGGGGTTTCACTAAAGCACATACATACTTTTGCCTTTTAAAATGCACTTATGCAGCTGAGATATCCTAACTAGTACATGGCTTCTCCATGTGAAGGCTGTGAATGGCATAGCATTTCATTTCTTTAGAAGTAGATTGTAGAGCTCAGCTAGTTCATTAAGGAGAAGGTAATCTTAAATCAGAACAAAGCTAAAAGTGTAGAAGTTCAAAGACAACCAATAGAGCAATGGAGGGTGGGGGATGTACAGGGTTGGCATTTAGAAGGTCTTTTATATGTGATTACCTGGCAACACTAAACACATCCAGAAAACCTTGGTCCATGTTCCCTCACATGGGATTCGTGCCAGAGCTGAGGTTAAAATCCACATTTCCAAGACTCTCATCTCACCAATGTGCTTTTTACCACCAATGCTGTTGATCACTCAGTCTATCAAGAGCATGATGCACCCTTCGAGAAGAGGACTTAACATGTTAGAATAAAGGTTATAAATAATTTTTTAAGTAACATGTTATTCCAGTTTTTATTTATATGAAATACAGAATTGCCATTGAAATTTATTAATATAATTAGTTTGAAGGCCCATCACCCCAAACTGTAAAGGCACTAAGCATATCTCCCTATCTGGCAGTCTTGGTGGAGTTTCCAGTGAATACCTCTGTGAATGCCTCTTGTCTCATAAATGTGAAGCAAGACTGATTTCTGAGTGACTTCAGAAGTGACAGTATGTAGGCACAGAGACACAGTATGTAGGCACAGTATGTAGTTCCTGGAGGACAACAGTGGGAAGATTGTCATTTTAAGGTTAGAACTTTCTAGGAAAATGAATTTCTGTTCCCTCCTCTCTCTGCTTTCCTTTTTCTCCCCTTAAATGAACTAATACATGTAAATAACTTAAGAATGTTTGACTATTACTACTATTTTGTCATTTGTTTATTTCCTCCATTTTATCCTTTCTTATATTCTTGCTCCAAACAGGGATACAGTATCCTTTTTAAGATGCTTTTTCTTAGGAAAATTGGAATTGATGCTGACTCCCAAATCTCTGCTCCAAAGGTAGCCCCAGAACTTACTGTTGCACCTGTGTGTACTGACCCACCCTGGAGTTCATAATCTGTCCCCAGGAGTGCTCTGATGGGGAGTTTCAGCCAAATTCATTGAGTTCTGCCTCATCCACTTTGTGGTTTATTTGACTGAAGTGCAAGCACCTGGATATTTGTAGACAGAATATTAAAATATCCAGGTATTCTGCTTTCATTAAGAAAATGTAAGGGCTGCAAGTCAAAATTGCCAAAACTTGGTAAAACAATAAGGAACGAGAGATATTTGCTCTCATTTTCTAAGCAGACAATCAATTGCAAGTAAGGAATATTTGTATATTGACTTAGTCACATATTTTAATTCAGCTTCAAAGCCAGGTGATATGGTAGGAAACTCTTTAACCTTGCCTGAAGAATGTGGCAAGATGATTATGTCTAAATGTGCATTCAGTAAATTTATAGAGTTGATCTAAGAAAGAAAATCTGATCTGTCATCAGTGCTTCTTTATGAAACTGTTACTTTTGAATTCTTTAAGTCAGGCTTTTGTTTATTGGTTAAACATATTGAATGTATGCAAATATTTTATAAACTGGATATTATTTTGACTTAAACCTTTATACCATGTAAAGCTCTTCCCTTCTTATTTCTACCTGTCAAAATCCTATCCCTCCTTTTCTGTTGGATATTGCAATCATCCTGGCTTAAATGTACTTATAATGCCTTTTACTGAACTTGTCCCAGTAACCCCTGTGACATTTATCACTTGCTGCAGACTCTTATTCCTAATACATCTTAATACATCTAATTTCCCAAATCTGTCAGTGTCAGAACCTTGTCTGGACACATAGTTCATTCAATGATTACTCAGCACATGTTTATCAGTTGATCACAATATGCAAGAGATGCAATAGTGAAAACCAGACCTGACCACAGTTGCTGTGGGGCTGATCTATAACATGAATAGATGAATGAAGGTCAAAGGGTGTGTATTATTTGCGTATCAAGTGTAATGTGGCTATTGTGCTGGTCCTGAAGGTAATTTTGAGGAAGCATCTAATATTGTTTGTTTATAAGCAAACTTATATTTTGTAATAGAATGCCAATGGTTGTTGTGTATGCTTTTGCTAGAAGGATTTTCTGGTTTCTTCAAGCAACTTTTGAAAAGATGTGTGGTATAAATACATTTCAATAAATCCAACTTTGTCTTTTCTAGGCTCTTAACACTAACATATATACCCTAGAAATAAACATTTTATATCCATGTCATATTGAAGCATAAGTTTGAAAAAGAGTTACATTTGGTCATTCAAATCATCAAAGACTATCTTAGAACTATCCTTTCAATTTATACTGAATTAAACTCAGGCTCATGATTGATTACAAACTGCTAATAAAAGCAACAAATCAAGTGTATTGTGAAATAAAGTATAAACAATATAAAATCATGGTTACATTTTTTAAACATAAGCTTCTGGTTCAACATGGCAATCTGACCCTCCTCAAACACTAATAAATTATAGAAAACCATATTTAAATGTATAGAACAAAGAACTTAAGAAAAGTCTAACAGCAAAAGGAAATTTTGAGAAGTTCTGTATGTTGCAAAATAGAATAGTGGCAAGTGATTAACCAGGGAAGAAGCATTCCTTCCTAGAATATATACAGAGGTGACTACTGGCAAAGAGGGGCTAATTTTCCCTATGGAACTGGTAGGCTCAGAACTCAGAAATAGCAGGTGTGGAGGAGGGTTGGAATGAGATACCTGAGTAAAAACAGGCATTTAATTCATTATATATGAAATCAACAATGCCTTCACCCTATTGTATAGAGTGTAGGCAGTTGTATCATTTCCCAGGCAAATATAATGAAGGCCCTTCTCTGGCGAAATCAATAAAATGGGTCCAGGGAAGTTTGTGTAAGCATGACACCCCAGAACAAAGATCTTTAAATTAGAGCCAGTATGTGTTCTTCAGGAAAATGGCCAGCTTCCCAATCACATTTCATGAATTGAACTGCCAAAAAGTAAGACCCTACCTGTGTTTAGAGAGCTGCCAGTTAGCTGTTTTACTATTTCCTAGTTAGGAACCAAGTATCTCTAATCATTTGAGGAAAGCTGACAATATAAATGAGAAAGACCAAGAAAAACCAGTCACAAAAGAAAAAAAAAAGAAACAGAGGAGATGGCAACTCTGAAAGAAACAGATAATTCAGAAACAACAAAAACAAAATCCTTAAAAATTCAAATTCATACCACAGAAAGATTAAGAAACAATGCATTGGTAAAATAAGAACAGGGTGCTATGAAAAAAAATTACAGATCAAGCAAATGACCTTGGTATTAAAAATGTGATTATCAGACTTAAAAGATCGATTGAGTGGTTGAACAATAAATTTCAAAGAAACACAAGGGTAAAAGGATTAATCTCAAAAACCCAATTCCCAATTAATGGAAATTTCAGAAACAGATAAAAAGACAACTAAAGAAAGAAACTAGAGTTGAAGGCCAGGAGTAATTAGATTGAAAGTATTCATTTAATGTTCAGAACAGTGAATAAATGCAGACCCATATTTGAAACATTATTTAAATTTACAGAACACTAAGGATAAAGCAGATTCTAAAGGCTTCCAGAGGGTGAAAAAGCCTGAACTTTTGCAATGGAGTGAGAATCAGATTGTATCAGTCCTTGCATCAGCCATAGCAAAAGGTAAGTTAGATCAATATCTTAACATTTCTGGGGGAAGATATTTTAAACCTAGAATTCTATACCCAGTCAAATTATCAGTAAGGTGTAAAACAAATAACATTTTTAGACAATAAAGGACTGAAAATTGTCTGCCACATGCTCTATAGGAGGCTAAATGGGCAAAATAGGGGGAGCTGGGGTGAGTGATACAAAAAAGAATGACATGAGATCGATCCAACACAGAAAACACTGGGTACAACTCAGGAAACTAATGAAAGGATGTCTCAGTCTGTCAGCAGTGCAAATAACTTGGAGAGAAATATGTCAAGATTGGAGCACAAAAAGAGGCTCATGGAGGGAAGTTTTTAGACCAATAGTAGATTCCAAAGATTTAGTTTCATCTGAATCTGCAAAACTTAGGGAGGCAATAAAGAAAAAGGTAGTTTAAGATTAAAGAAAGTTAATAGGAAGCTCCAGAAAAAGCAAAGGCTGTGCAAGAGGAAATATAATTATGGTTGTACAATAAAATATGTTTGCATATTAAAACTATTGATTTTCAAATTTATATTCAATGTACTAAAATGTACATGAACTTAATTTCAGAAATTCCAAAAAAGAAAGCAGAATATAATGTAATCAATTTTGTAAGATAAATACAAAATACAAAGAATACAATTTGGGTGGTGAAAGAGGAGAGGAGAATTAAAATGTGAAATCAAAGGATATTATCTAAGGTTTTTGCATGAAGAAATACATGTGAAAATGTATTTTTTTTAAGTTAAAAGGCAATATAGAAACTAAAAAATAGTGATGACACTATATGGGGAAAAGGTATGGGAAATGGTACAAGTTAACTTATATCTGCATTTCCCATGGCAGAAAGTTTATGACAATGTCTAAAAATAATAAAAAATATATGTAAAATATATTAGCAATATGATGGTAATTGCCAGAAAAGGGGAAATCAGGAACAGTTTGAAACATTTAGAGTGGTTCTTTATGAGGGGCTAATGAAAGTGGAGAAAGGGCAGGAGACTGAGGCTTTTCATTCTAAGTCATTCTGTACTATTATTTAAGCCATGTTGTTTTTTATTTTGATAAAAAATTTAAATATTGCATAATTATGTAATTAAATATATCAATATTATAGAGCTCTTCTTACAGGAGACTTCTATATATTCCAGGCCTCCTTCAGATGAAACATTCTTAACTTCTAAGTACTTTGGGTGGGGCAGGGAGATTGTTTGCAAGTTTATTTGTGAAATACAAAAAGCATAACTGTTTAGTTTTCATGTTAAGTGTAACAGAAATGTTCTCTGAAAAATATCAGAACAGAAAAAACAAGTGGGGATGTTGTAAAGTACCTAGGGCAGCCTGACCTAACTGAATATTGACATTTCAATTTTCAAAATAGAGTCAATGCTGCAATTAGGATACAGTTCAATCCTACCCAATGTCCCACCCAGAAACTGGTATTTATTATATACTTATCTTATATCAAGTACTTTGTATCCATTATATTTAATCATCATAATTTCACAGGGTTAGCGTTTTTACCTCCAATTTACAGCTAAACTGAGGCCTGAGGTCTCTTAGTCAAAAGATGGGTAGTTAAGGATATAAACCCACTCAGCTGATTCTACAGTCCATGCTATGCTGTCTATTTATTTGTTTATTTGTCATTAGCAATATGAGTGTAATCTTTGAATTCTTGGAAGCACTTGCTATTTTTTGAAATATTTTTAAAATTCCCATTTCTTAATACTTCTTTCAACATATTAAATGAGTCTCAACTTAATACTGTTTTATGTAAAGTACCACCTAATGGCCAAGAGCTCTACCTCTAGAACAAGACTGCTTCCCCTGGGAGCTTGGCTCTGCCCTATACCACCAGTCCTCAGCATCATGCGGTGCTTGAGCAGTGAGTTAACCTCTCTGGGCCTTGGTCTTCTCACCTCTAAAATGGTCCATGTGTTTAAGGGTTTTCCTGGGAGATTCAATGAGGTAATCCACACAGAGCACTAAGAATGTCTGATGCTGTAATCTTCTGGCCTCCCTAGGAAGTTTGGTTTTTACTTCCCCCATGTCCATTAGAAGTTGGGAGACTTTTAAAAATAATTTTATGATAATGGCTGCTTAACAATTTTATTTCAGTTTTATTATATGTATTTAGTATTTTATTGTGTTCCTTTTGCATTTTTCACTTAAGAATACTTACAGGAACCAGGATAGGAATTACTAAAAAACTGCCGCTTCTGCTATGGTTCCAAATAGTCAAGTAGACACTGGTGCCCTGCATATCTATTCATTCATTTATTAGTTCCCTCACTCTCTTAGTCTTGTGCCAGGTATGTTGATAGGAATAAGGTGAAGACATACCAGTGTTGTAAATTCACTTGGAAAGGGGCAGGAGAAATGTGGTTCCCAAACTGGTATTTGATCTTCTGTCTTGTGTGAATGCTAGCTGTGGCAGGAACTTACATAATGGGGTCTGGACTTCTGAATATACTTTTGTTAAATCACTTGTAATCTGTTAACATTTAACAGTTAAGTGGTTGTGGACTAGTGCAACAGAATGGTGCCAAAAATCCTATCAATGAGTGCAAGAGGATCTTAAGCAGCTTATTGAAATGTTTTATAAAAAGTAAAGTTTCAAAAATGACATTCAGCTTTATTCTGTGGTGAGAAGAAAAATGCCAGTACTGTAATTGAAAACATGATTTCCTAAAGTATTCCAAGTTTTCCTGGGAGACTTTCAGGAACAGGGATTGACTATCCTCATGCCTGCTTAGATAGAAAAAGGCTTGATAAAAGTGCAATGTCTACTAACACAGTTTAATCACTTAATGCCTTGTTCCAATTGAAAATATAACCCAGCCCCATTCAGATGATGGAGCACCTACACTTGATCTGTCTATTGCTTGTGCAGTCACTGATATTTCCAAGGGAAGCCTTGTGACTGTTGGAATGGAAATTAATTTCGTAGACTTGGGGCTGAAAAAAAAAGTTTGTTGTCATCTGCTGATGATAATCCTGAAAATGTTGTTGTTTGGACTAATGTTGCTTGCTCATGTCAACCTAGAAGAATGGGCCTAGATGGGAACTTGATACACAGGAGAGAGGAGGGAGAGGAGGGAGAGAACTGAGAAGAGATTTTTTATTACTGTAGAAAAAGACAACTTCAGGACACTGTCAGAGAGCATATTCTCTTTGTAGTTCTTGATTCTTATAATTGCTGATGTGATCTATCTGTCTTCAGAGAAACATAAAATTATCAAAGGTATTAATTCACCAACTTCAATAGCTAGAGGAAAAATTTAAACTCTTTTTAGGGTCATTTTTACATGATTCCTGAAGTCTTCATTTTCTATAAGATAAAGTACTATTATAGAAGTGCGTTTACACATAGCATTTGGTGCCTTTAAACTACTTTAAGGACCAACTCTTTCATCCATGCAAAGGAATGCAAATGCAGTGATGGCTGGGGTTATTGTTTTTGTTTATGAATGCTTTCTAGTATAGATCAATAGTTCTTAAACTTTTTTTGAATCATGAATCTCTTTGGAAATTTAGTGAAAAATATCTCCTTTATGGAAAAACAGATATAAGCATAAAGATACACAATTCTTTATAATCCTTACTGTATATTCATGGACCTTTAAGCTGTTAGGGGTGATGGGTCAGGTTAGAAAAATCTCCTAGACAGTTAAAGCAGAGTATTATATAAACAGTTAAAACATCGACCAGTTGTATAAAATAGCCAGGAAGGTTCACCCTGATAATAATATTGTCTTCTTATGTGACTACAGAATACATTGAAGTAAAATGTTTTGTAAAATTCTACAGTTTTTGAGCTGTAAATTAGTTAATCTTCAAAATTAACAAAGCTGAGACCTAGTAAGAAGAAACAACTGAAGTTTGCCCAGCTATTTATAGCAAAGAAAAGGCTATATTATGTTCTCTGCAAATACATGTGTACTAAACTTTTGAACTGCTACATAAAAAAAAGAGTAGATTTAAAGAACAAATTTAACTTTTAAAAGGATACTGTTGCTTGTCAATAACATCTATTCTGATTACTACCCCAACATATTAGGGCATTATATAGCAAAAGGAAGAATTAAATTCAGAAATGCTTAAATCTATTAAACCAGAAAACCTCATTAGCATAAATATTCTTAATACTTATACATTTTTAAATTGTCACCTATTTCTAATTCAGTTATGTAAGAATACAGTATATTTTTTTTCAGACAATTTTGGAAGCAATTTTCATGAGGCTTTAAATTCAAGAAGAAATTTCAACATTACTTTCTAGGGAAGATTATTTGAAAATAAAAATGCTTTTTGAATTATTAAATCAATTTGTTATAAATCAAATAGTTTCAGTTCATGAATCAGATACAAACAAGCAGAACAAATAGGAAATAAATTAGGTGCCAGGGATTGACTATCCCTTAAGGGGGACTTAAACACTGCAATATTATCCTAGCTGTGCACAAGAACCCTCTGTTAAGAATAGCCTGGGGGTGGAGAAGGCACCTGGCATGTGCCTCTGCCTGCGTGGCAGTTGGTCTGTGGCTCACACTCTGAGAAACCCAGAGATTGGTCCCCAGCTTCTCCTATTGAGGCTTTGCTGCCTTCTCTAGAATTGCTATTGTTTAACAACAGTGGCACATTGAGACAGGAGCTGTCCCCACTTCTGCACTTATCCTCTATCCTTAGATGCTTTGGGGAGGTAATGTTCTGACCTTAAGCTCCTTCCAGAAGACTGGGTTCTGGAGTGGGTTGCTTCCAGGTGATGAGTTCCCGTTCTGGAGACAGCTCTGTCCACTCCTGAAGTGCAAGGGTGACGTCCTGCCTGGGCCCAGAGCTCAGTGCACGACTTGTCCCGCCCTCCATGCCCTGCCAGGGTTCTCAGGGTTCTGGTTCTTTGCGTTTGGCTTTGAGCACAACTCACTTCCAGACAGCTTGTATCCGCGTGACCAAAGGGATCAAAGGCTCAGGACTAGGCGCCTGCA